CGAAATTTTTTCCTGCGTTCGCCCCTGATATCTGTAATAAATAACATCGGTTTTTGAGTGACTATTAAATTACTGTAAGATCGATTGTTTGAATATGCTCAAGTTAAGTTTATAACCGTTGATCTGTATTGTTTAAAACCATGTTAATTATTTGAAAGTAATAGATAACATAATTTCGTAGGAATGTTATTTACTATTTTAGAAAATAATTTAGGAACAGTTAGGTAACACTATGATTTTGTAAATGTTCAACTAGAATTTTTATTTTTTATGTAAAAATTTCTAATATTATTATCATATGGTATAATATACAAGCACTACAAACAAGATACATTTCTATAATTTGTAAAACAAAATTAAATCATTGTAAGATTATCGCTAAAGGTAATTATCCCAAATCAGCTTATATAGGTAAAACAGGTTCTATATAAAGAACCACAAATTTTTTTTTTGAGAGAGGTTAGAAAAAATGTAACATTAAATTTTTTTAAATTTTGTGTGTTTTTATTATGATCAATAATCATACATTAAATATTGAAAAATTTTCGGGGGGAGTTACAACCCCCTAAACACCCCCTGGATATAACTAGTAACGAAATTCTACTTACACAACTGAATGGAAAATACTGACCTCAAATTTAATTTGGTAGCAAAAACTTGAATACTATCCATCGTCTAAGTACTAAAGAGTTACACATGATAGACTGTTAACTTTTAGACAGTGTATCAATAACATTGCGCATAAGTTTACAATTTAAAATAACATAAATTACTAATTGGCTAACTCATCCTGAGAAGCAGCATTGCCTACATTGAGAACCTCTGCCATAGTGCTAGAGTTTCTGCTGGGTATGGCTAAACAGTTTGAATCATAAAAAAATCAATATTCAACTTAATCACTCAATGAGCAATACCCTCTGGTCTTAGGCGTGGACAGACCTCTTTGGCAGTATGAGATAAACCAATTATGATTTAAATACTTTAAGATATTTTATCAATTCGATTAATTATTATCATTGAAGTATAATAAATAAATACAATAAATAAATAAAATTTTATCAGGTCGTAATATGTATAACAAGTACAGTACGGTTCGCAGGATGGCCATGGTCCACCTAGCCCACTGCACACATCTATGCCTCTGGTACTGGCAAATTGGCGTTGACAGAATGGTTTCTAATTCTTTGCAACATGATGCCACCACATAATTGGTATAGAAAAAACTGCAAGCAGAATGATCAAAATATTTATCTAACACCTATTCTATTGACCATAAAAGTTAACATATCTAATCGGAACAACAATTAAAATATACAAATGATTTTAATTACTAACAAGTATAGTATTTTATTTTCTATCAAGTAAAACTAGTTATAATAACATTATTCATAATTAATATACATATAAAAATATAAAAATATAAAGAGACAATGATTTATAACTGAATGGACTACATAAAATATTATGCATTGTTCACATTTCAAGTATTAGTTTAAACAACCAAACAAATGAAAATAATGAGATTCATAATAATAGTTAAAATTATTGGAAAAGTTTAAAAGTAAATTGCAAGCAATTCGTTCAAGCATTGCTTATGCATTTTAAACATAAATAAAATAAAAATTTATAATGTCCAGATATGGCCAACATTTTAAAATTCTGATATTTAAAAAAATATAGTCACCATTCTAATACTTTGAATATATATATATCAACAATGTTAATACTTTCATATCAACATTATAATGTTATTTAATCGCTAAAATCTTTCAAAATAATAATTTATTATACATAAAAATATGTAATAATGGTTTTACCCTGTTTTATTTTMCTTATACTAAAGTATCATATTTTTTTCTAAAAATTCTTCAGAGTTGAAAATTATGAATACTAGATGAAGCATACTCTGGTCGGTACATGGCACCTTTATGAGAGCGACCCGTCCTATTCGAAAATTCAGAAAACCGATCTTGGTCCATCATTGGCTGTGGCATCAACATAACTGGTTGCAAATTCAATGACTTCCTAGAACCAGCCATTGATGCACTACTGTCACCTAAATACCCACCATTGAGCTCACCTATAGAAAAAAAAATGTATTAATATTTTTTTTATTTACCTAAATTATTAAAACATAAACAAAGTACCTTTGCGCAATGTAGATGCATATAAAGGTTCTGGTTGAAGTTTTATATGCCTAGTGGCTAAAATAAAAGCCAAAGCTGATAAAATAAGTGCATCCACACTTGCAATGACTGCTAATAAATATGCCCAACGGAAATTACAGTCACCAAGACTATAGCTTTTAGCCTCTGGACCACATGTTTTTTGAATATGTGATGAATCCCACCCCATTGGAAAAACAACAATGGACACGATCAGACACCCAGCTAAATATTAAATAGCATTTCAATGAAAAACATATCATAATAATTAGTAGCTCAGAAAATATAATAAAAGAATTGCATACCTGATAAAATGTGTAGCCATCCACAAATAAGGTAAACTGTTGTCGATTGAAATAAGAAGAACAACAATAACATTACCACAATWATTATAGCAATGCAAACTGACACACTGCCAAAAATAGCCGCCACTCTTATGGCTATACTTGGTATATTGGACACGTCTTCTAGTTTTCCCTGACAGTCCTCAACAGCAGTCGTCACACCATTGCCGAAGTAACAGCTGCTCCATAGACCGAACCGAGCAGGATTTTCAGATGTTGTAGTGTCGCCTATCCATTCTGGAGTGATGAAGGCCACAGCTACAATTATTGCGTAGCAAACTGTAAATATACCCCACAATACGCCAACCGCTTTGGAGTTACGCACATAATTTGTGGCGTACATTTGTGAGGAGTCCACATATTCGATTTTGGAACCCATTTCTCAAACAGATTCCAATCGGGTAACGAAATGTAAGTAGATTTATAGCAAACACATCGTTACTGCCTAGTAGGACTCACCGTTACGGAAAACGATTCAAGCARAAATTGAATGGTCCAGTACTCCAGTTGTCGTCTCGTTTCAGTGAATTTCAATAATTGCCTAGATTATAATGGACTGAGAAGAAATATACTCGGCACCCAGAGACGAGACCCACTTATTTTCTCACAATACATACAATATCGTTAGACATAATAACGGTGGGGACGAAACTCACCAAGTAGTAAGTTGACTACGACTACTAGTTAGTAGTTTAGTACTTAATGTAGTACCACATAGTACTATAGTAGAGGTAGACTGACACTGAATTACTAAAGAACAAAGAAGTGTACAAGTGGTTACGTCTATAATATTATGCTATGCTAGCCTAGAAACAGTAGTAACTATACATAGATAATATCTATGTATCTATATGCCTATATAGTATATTATACCATATAGGAAGTTAAGAGTTTGATAATTGATTTCGTCGAAGACATGGCAAAAAAATAATAGTAGTTTTGATAAGAAATGTCATGGAAGAAACGCTTCATAATAGTTTTAAATAGATTACCTAGTAATAGTCCTAGAGGTTTATGACTTTATGAGTGTTGTTAGGACTTACGAACGATTTTTTTTATATAATAAACAATGTCGAAATTTATGAATTTGTTTATAATTTAACTAATTTCTAATAATATATGATTATTATTAAAGACTATTACATATTATAATAATAACTTCAAATTCTTCAAAACATTACATAGAAACAAAAAAATGAAATAAAAAATCATTTTTTTTTAAATGTAAATATGATTTGTCTCTGACAAACGGGGTTAAGAAGCTTAATGTGCGTATGCGTGAAGAGAAATGTCGCCTAGCTATCTATATTCTTCAGGAAATAAATTTAAAATTACCTAATATATTTAAGCATAAACAAATAACACAATATGAAACGGTTCACCTGACGCATGCGTAAAGCGCAAAATTAAGCATCTCCATTCTCCGTCACTAWTAGAGACTCGTAGTTAATATTTCGACAAATGGAAATAAACCAACATTTTCAAACTTATCTGAGGTTTATCGATCATACAGATTTATAACTCAACAGAGAGCTATTACTTATTAACTGTTTCCTACAAGCTACAACTCTAAACTTCGTACAAAGTGATCCCACAATAGAGTTTCCGGATTCGTATACAAAACCTGCATATTGTATGTTTGTAACATAGTAACGTGATAAATCATTAGTGTGTACCTAAACAATTTGCTTGTGTTTACTACACACTGCAGGCTAAAATAATGTTTTCACTT